AGAGAGAGAGAGAGAGAGAGAGAGGGAGAGGGAGAAGGGTATAAAGGGGTCCTACAAAATTGAAGAGAGGAAGCAAGATGGTCCATGGAAGTGTCTCCTCGGAAGAGGGTGAAGGAATGGACTAACGTGAGCATCATGTTAGTTGTCACCGTAAGAGAATTGTCTAAAATGGTCACTGAAATCTGTGTAGGTTTAAATGGTGGTGGTGGGGGCAATTAACGGGAGGTTTTCACATGCCCTAATAACCCTTCTCTTCCTACAAATCACGTGGCCCTTCCTCTATTAATTATTCTTTTCCCTCTCCCTCTTCTCTCTCTCTCTCTCTCTCTCTCCCTATTTTTCCTAATTCCTAATTGTCTTTTTCTCTAATTAAATACAATTAGACTTAGGGTTTCATTCATTCTTACAAACTAGGTTAACCCTAACTGCGCCCAACTAAATCCATTAACATTTGTCTTAATCATTCACTTCTCTGTTTATTAGTTAGTAATGCATTATTTGCTTTTCTACTGTATGTCAGTTCAAAAAGAAAAACACCCCTTTTTCTAAAATTTATTTTGGGGAGTTGTAAATAGACCCAAAATGTGAAACAAGAGATATTTTGGACATGTACCATGGTTTAGAGTTTTGCTATTATAAACAAATACTATGAGGAACAAGTTGTCTACTTTTCACTGTCAAAGGTGAGTCATGTTTCTGGTCTGCTGGCACATCAGAGACATTAATAATCCAAATAGGTAATAGTAAATCGTAAACAAAGAGCATAATGTAAATATGTATACATGATTATTGTTTTTGATTATATATATATAAATAATATCTAAGCAAATGTATAAGAAGATGCTAAGAATGTGTTCCAACTCCAAAGTTATTAAATACATCTGTTTAAGGAGGAGAGGAAATATAGCATAATTAATGAAGCATATCCAACAAAGATAAACCCAAAATCATATCAGTAAGCTAGCATGGAAAAGAGTATTAATTAATTGGTTAATGTTATTGTCGAAGGGCAGAGGGAGACCCAATTAATAAATAAAACCAACCAGAATATAATACAGAATATGATCGAGTTTTCTAATCAAGAAATTTGGCATCTTTCTACCCATGTCCTACTCCTTGCCTTTGTCTGGCCACTGCCAAACTTGTGTCCATGGAACCCCAAATGTCACATATTTTGCATCAATCAGATCATTCTACCAAAATAAGAGACCCCTAATTCAATTTGCACATATGAAGTTACTCTTACCAGTACCAGTTGGAATCTCTCTAGCACTTTCTAATGTTGTTTTCTCAATACCCCAAATACAAATTTCCCTTCCTGTTAAATCATTGCCCTCTCCATTTCCATCTCTCTAGTTTAATTAATGTCTTAATTATACCCCATATAGACATAGAAAGAGAGAGAGAGATGCGGGTTTTTTTTTTTAATAATAATAATAATGATATATATATATATGGTCCACTTCTTCTATTGTCTTGTACAAATTCTGATGCAAAATGTCTTCAATTTCTCTAAAACTTTGTTTCCTTTCTCTTGTGACATTGGGAAACACTTAGGCACAAAGAATCAACAAAAGCCAAGGCAGCCATGAGCTGTCTCTCACATTTTTTTGTTTTGAATTTGCCTGATTTTTTTTATATTTTTTCCTTTGCAAAGATGTTTTGAATAAAAATGAATGTTTTTTTTTTTAAAAAAGAAAAGATATGGCCTCCAAATTGGGGAGCGAGAGTGCCCGTCACCACCACCACCAACCTCAAACTTTTACTATAAAGTATATAAAACCCTGCATCTTTTTTTTTTTAATTACTACATTAAACAAGGTGAGATGTGATATTATTCTCAACTTTATTATTATTTTTTTCCAGTTAAAATGTAGGCTTCTCATATTCTATTCTAATAACTAGAGGGTTTAGGTTTAAATTACCTTCAAATTATATATGATATGATAAAAATATTTGCATAAAAAAGAGTAAGAGAGACTAAGTGTAGGAAGTGGGCCTATTATAACATATTACTTTATATGAGTGAAAAGGAAAGAGATTCCTTTCTTTTTATGACAAAAAACTCCAAATTAATTCTACTATATTTTATTATATGAGTAAAAAACAGAAACATCTCTTTCGTTTTTCTCTCATATCTTGTGTCTTTTTTTTTTTCAATTATTTTTACGACAAAAAAACTTCAATAATATCTATTTGCGCGTTGGAGAGTTGACCCATGAAGAAAGCTAAATCTGCTTCTAAGAGGAACTATTGGATGATATATGAAGCCCACGAGGACAAACCCTTACCTAATCAAATTGGTTTTTCATCATTTTTATTTTTGCCCCTCCTTCTAAATAGATAAGAAAGAGAAGAAAAATAATAATTATTGGAGAAAAGACCAAGTAAAAAGTGGATAATTCAAGTTTCAACCAATAGATTCATGTGAATGAGTATTTATTACTCTTAGGGCCGGCAGTTCCTTCTTTAAACTTTAATTAAAAAAAAAAAGAAAAAGAAAAAGAAAACCGTAAAAATTTATTACAAATTATAGAACTGATATGAAATCTACCAGAACCAGGTACCATGAAGCCAAAACCAACAGCGGAGCGGACACGGGTTAGCTACGGCTTATATTGGGGGAAGAAATTATTATTAAAATATAAATAATATTGAATTATTATGCTTTTGTGCAAAAATAAAATACAGTATAGTTTGTAAAGGAAAATGCACCAATGTTTTACCATCCACGTGGTGCGGATTACCAATGGAAATATGATCAACAAAATATGCATCCAATGGGCCATCAACTTTTGGAGACCACCGAATTTGAAGTGATCTTTTTTAATAATATTTTCATAAAAGAAAATAAAGTTTTTTTTTCTTCTAATTTTCAAAAGGGCTGTTTTTCGAGTGTCTCTTCGTCTTATATGGAGGAGGGGGATCCTTTGATTTCTTATGTCTTTCGATTATAAAATGTTATTTTAAAATTATATTGTTTCAATATAACAATTAACAAAGGTAAGTGAATATGTATTTTATTGCTTAAATTGAATTAGAAAAATTATAACTTTTTTTGATGTGAATTTAAAAGGTTATGATCTCATTTAAGTATTTATTTTTAATTTGGATTCTTTTAAGAAAATTAAGTTTTGAAGACCAGGAATAAACTAAAATCTTGATATCTTCCCAAATGTGTTTAAATTTTTTTTGTTTACCTACACTTTTCTTTTTGGTTTATTTTTCATCTCTTTCACAAAATTATTACTACAAAATTACAAAAAAAGTCCTTAGTGAATAAACATTAATTATAAAAATTAATCTAAACATAGTTCAACTGATAATTAAAGACAAATATATTCGATCAAAAGGTCGTACGTTCAAATTCTCACCTCACTTGTATTAAAAAAATATTAATAATAAAAATAAAACATAAGAAAATTATTATTAAATGAGTCTTTAATATGAATATAATTAATGTCAGCCTCTTAACATTTTCTTATTTCTAAATCAACATTTCCTTTTGGGGAATAAATTGGTGAAGTTTGGATCTTTACAATAATAAATTATCTAATGGAGTATAAATTTTAAAGCTGATTGAATTGAAAACGTAAAAATAATCTAACTTATATATAAAAGGCACATCACTATTTAAGTTGATAAAAAAAAAATCATATATATATTGACCAGAAAAAAATTTAACTTTTGGATATCAAAACAGACTTTATAGGTTAATGAGTGGCTCGCATATTTAAAAAACGACACTTCTAAATCAAAAGGGTCTATTGAAAGAAAAACAAAACTTTTCTTTTACAAACATGTAAAAGAATTCATTTTTATTTACAAAAAGAATCAGACATATTCTAAACTTGCGACCGAAGCAACTCTCGTCTAGCTAGCTAGCTCACTGTTATGTAAGTATTTTTATCCATTGAGATCAGAGTAAAAAAGAATGATCTATCTGAAAATGTTTCAGATTATACTAATTCAAAACCCACCATGATAACAAATAAAATTCAAAGCTCCATTGAAAAAAAAGGAACTAACAAAATGGAAATTGATGCCGTTTTCATTTTAACCCAGGATATTAGAGAAATGGGTTATTTCTTGCTTGAAAAAAAAAATGTTGGTTAGAACTTCCTCTCCGGTAGTCATTCATCCGCCCACTTTCGAATTGCAATGAGAGCATCCAAAGCATCAAACATATTTGGATAGAGTACAATATTGGGAAAAAATGTAGACGAATATAATTGATTGTCATCTTGTAAGGTTCTTCAAATAGGAATTATTTGGCTATGATATTGTTAGCTTTGGCATCACTTTTACGACTTTGTTTTTGGTTTTGTTTGATCTGAAATTTGATCGGGCTCGAAACTCGTCGGCCGACTTCTAAGCTACTCCCAAGGAAAACCTGCAAGTCCGTGAAGTGCGACGTGTTGTCAGGAATGACAACGTTGCTTATGCATCGACAACATTTTTAATAGCTCGGTTCGGACCTTCGTCAGGTTGGCCGGATGATAATAAACAGCTCGGCTTGGTTACCTTACACCAAGCTGGTGACACTTTAACACCAGTTGTCATTATTTAAGATAGTTTTACCGTATTCGGTAGTGCGTATCAGACAATAAACAACCTTCAACAGGTTTCCTCCGTGTAGCAATAGAGATATTATCCTTCATATATATACCGATAATCTTCTTTCCTAGTTAACGTGAGACTTTTGTTTGTACTCTTTACAGATACAATAAAAAAACACCTCACCAATCCAATCGAAAAGGTGTAAAAAACAATTAGGTGTGAGTCAGAGAAACAAAAGTAGTGTGTTTTTCCGGCCGACGGACATAAACTTTTGGTATGAGGCCTGCTTTTGTCCAGTGTCCAGCCCTTTTTAGCGCTTAGAAAGTGTGTTTGGTTGAGTTGAAATGGACGGGAAATGAGATGGTATGGTATTCAGCATCCTACTTAACCAGAACAAAGCAACAAACTTTAATTAAATTAAGCCATAAGAAAGCAGAGGTGATGTTGTTAATGGTGAAAGAGAGAGAAGAAAAATGGCAGACACACGGTGGCTGGGGATTGCGCTATCAGGGAACACATGACCCCACCCCACAGTTTCCCCGTTTGATTTTCCAGTATCAGGTGGGCCATTTTGGCCATCTTCTCCAATGGATGCTGTCGGTCTCCCTTACTAAATTTCCCCTCTTTAATGTTTTTTTCCCAATTCTCCAATTAATTAAAAACGTTATTATTCACAAACCCCATCTGTAATTTGGTTCCCCTTTCATTTGATCTTCAACATCAAACCTGGTCGGAGACACTTTCCAAAACTAAACCGATCCCCTTAATTAAAACACTCTTATTATTATTATTATACATTAATTAATGACTCATATTAAGAAAAAGAATATACATATTTTGTCTCTCTTATTATTTTAGTTTAATTAGACTAATAATAATATAGAAGTTAGAACCAGAACGCAAATCCCAGAGGCAGCGGCAGAGGCAGACCCCACATGTGGTCAAAAGTTTTTGTTGCCAAATATATCTACGTGGCATCTGGATTTTTTGCTATAAATATGACCCTAAGTTTGCTACACACCTCTCCAACCCAAACATTCGAACCATCTACCACATTCCAACCAAGACTTCCACTTTCTCTCTCTTCTTCTTCTTCATCTTCTTCCTCCATAGCTTAACTAGCTACAAAGTATTATACCACCAAGCCAAATTTGTTCAGATCAAGAGATCCCAAACATGAAGATGCTATCCACAAAGGCCACGTGCAACTCCCACGGCCAAGATTCCTCCTACTTCTTGGGATGGGAGGCTTATGAGAAGAATCCCTTTGATGAGGCCTCAAATCCCAAGGGGATAATCCAGATGGGTCTCGCTGAGAATCAGGTAATTATAACATATTACATATCATTAAATAATATTGTTCTCTACCTTTGCTTTATGGGAATCAGTTATTCACCTTTTTTCTTCTCTTCTCAAAATTTTGCAGCTATCCTTTGATCTCCTGGAATCATGGCTGACCAAAAACCCAGATGCAGCCGGCTTCAAACGAGACGGCAAATCCATTTTCCGAGAGCTCGCTCTCTTCCAGGACTACCACGGCTTACCCGCATTCAAGAAGGTAATATATTATAAATATAATTAAATTAAATTAAATGATTTGGGTAAAAAAGAAAAATATATTTATGAATTTAGGCTAATGATTAATTTTGATTTGCAGGCATTGGTAGAATTTATGGCGGAAATTAGAGGAAACAAAGTGACATTTAACCCTGACAACATCGTGCTCACGGCTGGCGCAACTTCCGCCAATGAGACTCTTATGTTCTGCCTTGCCGAGGCCGGCGACGCGTTTCTCCTCCCAACTCCATACTATCCAGGGTTCGTATATACCTTTATATTCACTTTAATTAATTAAATTAATATATATACAATCTTTTTAATTACCAAAACTTTAAGCTATATATTCGACTTTAAATTTAATAGTTTTCTGATCATATCCTTGCTTCCACTTGTTGTTCAAACAGATTCGATAGAGATCTCAAATGGAGAACCGGCGTTGAGATTGTGCCAATTCATTGCACCAGCTCCAACGGCTTCCAAGTCACCAAGCCCGCTCTCGAGCAAGCCTACAAAGAAGCCCAAACCCGAAACCTACGCGTCAAAGGGGTGTTGGTCACCAACCCATCCAACCCATTGGGGACCACGATGACCCGCGACGAGCTCAATCTCGTCTTCGATTTCATAACCCAAAAAGGGATTCATTTGATCAGCGACGAGATCTACTCCGGGACCGTGTTCAGCACTCCAGGATTCGTGAGTGCTATGGAGGTGCTCAGGGAGAGGAGGGAGAGGAGTAGCGAGGTTGAGAAGGA